AGAAGGAAATTTTTTCTCACATCTTGGCTAGTTAGTTATGGTTAACATTTTCTGTAGTGTGTTAGCATTGGGAATTGAGCCTTATGACCAGGACACCAAAACTGTAGCAGGCAGGACTTGCAGTGCAACACCGAGGGATCAACTAGGACCAGTTAATACCCTCACATCAAGGAGGAAGAATCCAAAATGACAGACTTAGGCCTCATGCACATGATCGTTTATGGGCTCCTTCGTCCTCAAGCTCTCCTGGTCCAGGTGCTGCCAATACAAGTGAATTGCTGCATGTGGCCATACGCATGTAAGCGCAGATCCCTTTTGCTTTAGCAATTATCCACGCATGCGCGTATGGTATATGTCCCCAAACGCAAAAGTGGCACATTTGGGGAAATACGCCATGTGCACATGCTTGGGTACACGTCAGTGCAGAAGCGTTCAGCATTTACATGAGAAGTTATCAACACTTATATGTATTGGTGGCTGTACATGGTGTATATATATATATATTTTTTTATTTATTTCAGGTACTTATATATAGCTGTCAATCTACGCAGCTCTTTACATATAAATTGTACACTCACATCAGTCCCTAACCCTCGAGGGGTGTACGATCTAAGGTCCCTAACTCTCATTCATACATACACATAGTAGGGACAATTTAGACAGGAGCCAATTAACCTACCAGCCTGTCTTTGGAGAGTGGGAGGAAACCGGAGTACCTGGAGGAAACCCACGCAGGCACAGGGAGAACATGAAAACTCCAGGCAGGTGGTGTCGTGGCTGGGATTCAAACCAACAACCCTAGTACTGCCAGGCGGATATATATATATATATATATATATATATATATATATATATATATATACACATATATACACACACACATATACATACACACACGGGGAGAGATCTATATTCTCTGTGTACACATGCACCCTAAATTTAGGGATAGTTCATTCCAGCAGCTGCATTAGATGGTGTTCACTGATCCTGGAGCGATACAGATGCGCTGAAAACTGTAAACTTTTTACTTATTTTTATCATTTTTGTTCAGACTTTACTGAAATGTCACACAGTGACATTTCATTCAGTTCTATTCACTGCAGCGGTGTTGCAAAGTGGTGTCCTGCTGTATGACAGATTAATGTGCAAGATGACACATACACTATACAATCTGATTGTACAACCTTCTTTAGATCTGTCATCAACTATGCAGTGCAAGGGCCTACCTGATGAGATAGTTTTTGTAAGTCTAAAGGTACAGAGATTTTACAATCAGATTGTATAGTGCAATGGTCTCCAAACTACAGCCCATGGGCCAGATGTGGCCCTTTGCTTGCCTTTATCTGGTCCTTGGGGCACTATTCTTCCCACTGACACCAAAGATGAGGCACCATTATTTCCACTGACACCAACAGTGGGGCACTATTTCTTCCACTGATGCCTACAATGGGGCACTATGCCTCCCACTGATACCAACAACGGGGCGCTATTCCTCCCACTGATACCAACAACGGGGCGCTATTCCTCCCTCTGATACCAATAACTAGGCACTATTCCTCCCTCTGACAACAATGATGAGGCATTATTCTTCCCACTGACACCAAAGATGAGGCACCATTTTTTCCACTGACACCAACAGCAGAGCACTATTTCTTCCACTGATGCCAACAATGGGGTGCTATTCCTCCCACTGATACCAACTACGGGGTGCTATTCCTCCCACTGATACCAATGACGGGACACTATTCCTCCCACTGATAACAATAATGATGCACAATTCCCCTCACTGCTAACAACAATGGGGCACTATTCTTCCCACTGACACCAAAGGTGAGGCACCATTTGTTTTCCGCTGACACCAGCAGTGGGGCATTGTTCCTCCCACTTCTAACAATGATGTGGCATTCTTCCTTCTAGTGACCGCAGGCACCATATCATTTATATACTTCCACTGACCACCAAGCCTGAGACAGTGGGGGTTATTTACTAAAACTGCATGGTGCAACTCCGCATAGAACCCAATCAGCCTCCAGGTTTTATTGTTAAAGATTAATTGAGCAAGCTGATGTTAGAAGCTGATTGGCTACCTCGCACCGCTGCACCAGATTCTGAGCGCATCAGTTTTAGTTAATCTCCCCCATTGTGTATAACCACTGTTTGGTAAATCTAAAGGTCACCATAGAAATTACAATCTCTCCATACGATCTTTGTAAAATCAACTTTATATTTGAGAACTATGTAATATGAGGACCTACCTTATCTATCCATTTATTTATTTATTTCAGGTACTTATATAGCGCCGTCAATTTACGCAGCGCTTTACATACATATTGTACATTCACATCAGTCCCTAACCCTCAAGGTGCGTACAATCTAAGGTCCCTAACTCACATTCATACATACATATACTAGGGACAATTTAGACAGGAGCCAATTAACCTACCAGCATGTCTTTGGAGTGTGGGAGAAAACCCGGAGGAAACCCACGCAGGCACAGGAGATTCAATTTATATCCAATTAGGCAAGCCCTTGCACTACATAGTTGTTGAAAAGATCAAAGGATATTATACAATCAGATCGTAGCATGTATGGCCAGGTTAAGGTGTATATAAATTTGTCAAAAATCTGAAAAAACTGTACTGCAACAAAATGTACTCCAACATGGAAGAAGACCCACGTCCCTTATTTCAGATATGGTAGTATTTCTGTATAAACTTGCCACAACAATAATGCCATACAGTAAAGGTGTTGCAAAGAACAACTTGAATTTGTTGATTCGGTACCGGCAATGAAAATGTCACAGGTTTTTCATGAAGGCTTCCAACGACATACATACCACGGGAAATGTGCCCCAAATGTGCAATTTCCTATCCCTCCTGTATTAATTCATATTATTATTATACAGGATTTATATAGCGCCAACAGTTTGCTCAGCGCTTTACAATATAACAGGGGACATATTGTAATTGTACTGTCTGCCCTTATGTTGTAAAGCGCTGAGAAAACTGTTGGCGCTAAATCCTGGATAACAATAATCTCCCCAAATATTTTTTGCTATCACGGTCCTTTAACTTAACCCTCTGAGCTGCACAAATAGCCATCCCCAGTACAATGCAATCACAAGTGCCATCCGCCTGCTCTGCATTTGAAAAGTTCTGTTTGTGTGTTTCTAGAAGCTATTGAACAACAACAACCCCACCATTATACTAACAAATCCTGAGAGAGCCCATGTGCGCCCAGCAGGGGATGAAGTGACAATGGTTTCTCAATACCTGCATTGATACAGTCAGCTGTTGCTGAGAATATATTATTATTATTATACAGGATTTATATAGCACCAACAGTTTTCTCAGCACTTTACAATATAACAAGAGACAATACAGCAACAATACAAGAGGGATTTGAGGGCCCTGGTCCTTGGAGCTTACAATCTAGGAATATATATATTGTTAATTCTTTATTTATAAACAGAGAGAATATTAAATCTTTTGCAAACAGTTTTAAAGCTTAGCATTGGTATGCGTCAGTTAACTTGACAATAACTCTATGGGGGAGATTTGTTAAAACTGGAGCACTCAGAATCTGGTGCTGTTGTAGCCAATCCGCTTGTTCAATTAAGCTTTGGCAATAACATCTAAAAGCTGATTGGTTTCTATGCAAAGCTGCTCCAGATTTTGCATGCTGCTGTTTTAGTAAATCCCCCCATGAGTGTTTTTTTTTTTTATTGAGAGGGGGGTCTGAGAACTAGGAACACACACAGTTGCACAATCCTAATTGCCTGCTGCAAGGTTAAATAAAATTCTCACAGCAGGGACTTGCAAATTCGTATTGCAGTCACAATGGCATCAAAGAGAAGAGAATGGAGCACTTACCATTGCCCTATAAGTTTTCCAGCAAGACAATCCAGGTTGGTGCAGGCTGTAAATCCACTCTGCAGTCTTCAGCCTGTGCTGGATCCAATATGATTGCTCATTGAGCTCCAGCAGAGGAGAGGAATGTCCTGTGATGACACATGGTTTCACAGCAGTGTAAACAGCTCAGTGAGAACAATCCCTTTAGCTGGTTCATTATTCAGGAGTGGAGTGTGGATGTGCAGAGGCATGTTGTGAAATGTGTGGGGTGGAGACATATGGTACATGGGCTGCTGTAAAGGAGAGGAAGGCTTCAAGTGTGACTTGCTGTTTTGTCATCTACTCCTCCTCCATGTGAAAAGCTGGAAAGCTTTGATACATGTGATTAGAAAAAGCTGATGACCCAATCACGACCTCTAATATTACATTACGGAGTGTAGTAGTCGCTCATCACACTTTCCAAGTGAATGATTGTGCATCACAATGGAGATCTGGGTGACATGGCAGGACTATTGCTGTGCTAAATTGCAGAGTGAAGCCTTTTTAGTCTTTGGAGTTTACATGTGAACAGTCTTGTCTCTGTTGCCTTAACTATCATTGCATATAGTTTAAACACTTGCCTACCGGGCACTTATACCCCCTTCCTTCGCCCAGGACAGTTTTCAGCTTTCAGCGCTGTTGCACTTTGAATGACAATTGCGCGGTCATGCAAGATTGTACCCATATGAAATTTTTATCATTTTTTTCTCACAAATAGAGCTTTCTTTTATTTTTCGAATATTCTTAATCCCCGCTGGGTGTTTTACTTTTTGCGATATAAACAAAAAAAAGCAAAAAATTTGAAAAAAAGTTTGTTTCTATTATAAAATTTTGCAAACAGGTAATTTTTCTCCTTCACTGATGTGCGTTGATGAGGCAGCACTGATGGGCACTGATAGGCAGCACTGCTAGGCAGCACTGAAGGGCATTGATAGCCGGCACTGATAGGCAGCACTGATGATGGGTACTGATAGTCAGCACTGCTGGGCGGCACTGACTGACGTCACTGCTGGGCATTGACTGGCGCAACTGGTGGGCACTGACTGGCACAACTGCTGGGCACTGACTGGCGGCACTGCTGGGCTGCACTGATGGGCACTGGTGGGTTGCACTGGTAGGCACAGGTGGGTGGCACTGGTGGGCACAGGTAGGTGGCACTGCTGAGCATTGATGTGTGGCACTGGTGGGAGGCACAGGTGGGTGGCACTGCTGGGCACAGGTGGGCGGAATTGGTGGGTGGCACTGCTGGGCACCGATCAACAGGGCACTGATCCTCAGTGCCCTGATGATTGGTGTCCATCCCTGCTCTGGCAACTGCTGGTTCTTGGCAGTACTTTCCTCACGCTCTGACAGCATGAGGAAAGTGCAGCCGAGAACCGCCAATTGCATTTCCCTATGCTCGGCATGTCATTGGACACGGCTGATCATGTGGTAAAAGGCCATCATGATTGGCCTTTTACCACATCACGTGATCAGCTGTGTCCGTAGGACACAGCGATCACGGAGATCGCCGGGGGTGCGCCCCCCCTGGGGTGCGCAGGAGAGCGCGTTCTGGGAGGACGTCATATGATGTCCACCCAAAACTGGCCGGCCGCAGTGCAGCCGTCATTCGGCTATCTGCGGTCAGCAACTAGTTAAGGTTAAGCAGAACTCAATTTTCCAATGAAAAGTGTACAAAGGCCTTCTCCAAGGCCCACTGTAAAGGTGGGAATACACAATTAGAAAATTGACCGATCGGTTATCCGATGACCAAGAGGCGTTCGTTCGTTGATTGATATCGTGGCCCACATTAACCAATCTAAAAAAATCGTCGGGCAATACATAGTGTTGACGTCTTCCGTACAAATGGAAGTGATGCAGTGTGCGTGTGACCTTGTAGCCACGCCCTTCCTGCCAGAACGAGCGATATACACAATTAACAGCAATGAGTAGAATATAGTTTATTACATTACCTATATACATAAATAGTGATACATAAACATATAACATGCAGAATTCTGGTTTCATTATCTCATTAGGCCAATCTACTTTTAACATTTGGAATTTTAGTTCGTGTTTATGAAGATTCCTTGGACATAAACATCCGGGTCATCTTCTGTTTCCGCTCATGTGCGATAGTGTTTGATAGATTTTTTTTTCATACAACCGTCATACCACTGCATAGAAAATCGGTCGTTCGTATGCAAAACGACAACATTTTTCACTGTTGTTCAACTGGATTTTTTTGTTCACAATAACGTTATCGGTTAAAACATCCTCCTCATCAATGAAGAGAAAATCGTACGCAAAATTTTTCGGACGATTTTCCTATCGTGTGTATGGGGCATTAAGCTCACCATACGCAAATAGAATCACAGGCTGAAGAAGAGAAATGTAAGAGAGATCTAATAAAAAGCTAATATACGCCTTCAATAGACGATCATAAAGGAGGCTATTGTACTGTATTATGACAGCTGGCAACCATATCAGAATACCAAAATGTGATTGGATGCAGTTACTGTCTGGTCCACTATTTTCCATCCATCTCCTTCAGCAAAAGTCAACTGAAAAATCAACTTTTGTCCAGAGGGGTTGTGCCACCCACTGCTTGAATTTTGGCCGATTTAGCAGTAATTGGCCTAAATTCAAGCCTTACTAGAAATAGCGACCTGAGATCAGAAGCTTTTGGATGCTAGAACACCTGCAGAACTCCAGCTTAGGGTTGCCACCTCATCCCTTTCAGTCCTCATGCACACTGGACATTTTTACAGCGCTGTTTTTTGGCTTTTGATGTTTTTTTCTACAGTCAGTAAACCCCCAGTATGTTATCCTATGTGTCCATGCACACAGACTGTAACCAACATTTTTTGGCTGGAAAAAAAAACCCAGGACTGGTAGGTTTCTAGAGGAGTTTTTTAGCTGTAAAAATGCTCTAACGCTGAAAAATGCACTATATCGTGGCAAACCAGCGTTTTTGGACATTTTTTTTTACTATAATAAAATACATTTTTTTTTGGTAAAAAAAAAACCTATAAAAAACATAAACAAGAAAAAACGCTAATACAAAAACGCAGAAAAACTCACTTTTTAACGTGACTTACACAGCTACCGTTATCAGCGTTATTAAAACACCCAGCGAGCCTACAACCAAACACACATTAATTACACAGATTCTGTGGCTGACGGGCGCAAGGCGGTTCTCTTGTTCTGGGGGGCGTCATATGATGTCCTCACACTGTAACCGAGAGTGGCGATCGGTGGTGTGCTGTGTCACTGGGACACAGCGGATCACTGATCAACGGAAAGACCCGAAAACGTCGGCTCTGTCGTGTGATCAGCTGTGTCCAATTACAGCTGAGCACATGTAAATAAGGAAATGCCGGTTATCAGCATTTCTCTCCTCCCGAGCTGTCACACTGACAGCTCGTGAGGAGAGCCAGTAATCGGCATTACTCAGAGGGGACATGTACACTGATCATCAGGGCACTGATGATCAGTGTGCCTTGATGATCAGTGTAGCCCCATCAATGCCACCTGCCAGTGACCATCAGTGCCACATGAATGCCACATATCAGTGCCTACCAGTGCACATCAATGCCACATACCAGTGCCCATCTGAACTGCCTTTCAGTGCCACCTATCATTGCCAGTCAGTGCCACCTATCAATGCCAGTCAGTGCTGCCAATCAGTGCCACCTATCAGTGACAGTCAGTGCCGCCTATCAGTGCCCGTCAGTGCTGCCTATCTGTGCCATATATGCCTAACACTGCCTAACAGTGCCAGTCAGTGCCGCCTATCAGTGCCAGTCAGTGCCGTCTACCAGTGCCATATATGAGTGCTGCCTTTCAGTGCCTATCAGTGATGCTTGCCAATGCCCATCAGTGCCAGCTACCAGTGCCTCCTCATCAGTGCCACCTATCAGTGCCCATCAGTGCAGTCTATCAGTGCCATAACTGCAGCCTCATTAGCACACATCAGTGAACGAGAAAAATCACTTATTTACAAAATTTTATAACAGAAACTAAGAAAAACTTTTTTTTTCAAAATTTTCAGTTGCTTTTGGTTTGTTTAGCAAAAAATAAAAAACCCAGAGGTGATTAAATACCACCAAAAGAAAGCTCTATCTGTCTCATAAAAATTTCATATGGGTACAGTGTTGCATGACTGCGCAATTGTCATACAAAGTGCGACAGCGCTAAAAGCTGAAAAATGGCCTGGGCAGGAAGGGGGTATAAGTGCCAGGTAGGCAAATGGTTAAGATGGCAGTTAAACTAGGTGCCTTATCTGCATTAAATTAGCCTCTGACCCTGTGTAAGTAATAAATGTTCAGTTTTAAAGGGATGAGGTGGCAACCATACTCCAGCTTTGTTTACAAGGATTTATTCGACTAAGTGGGTGAAGCATTGCACAAGTATGAATGTGAATTAGGGACCTTAGATTGTACGCCCCTTGAGGGTTAGGAATGATGTGAATGTATAATATATATGTAAAGCACTGCGTAAATTGATGGCGTTATATAAGTGCCTGAAATAAATTAAATAAATAAATAGAATGAGAAAGCTGAATAGACATATGTGGGCGGTCAAGGAGATAATGTGACCAATTTGCTAAGAAGAAAAAAAAGGCACCTGGTAAAAGATGAGGAATAATAATTACCAGTCCCAGTGCTGGTGACTTTGATCCTTGCTCTCTTGAACAGCTTAACCAGCCAAATGATCTTCAGCATCCAACACTACTGTGTCCCTGCAGGGACTCTGCAGCTGTTTCCATCAGGGCTGCCATTTGAAATCATGGGGACCCATGCAGCCTACACGCAAGTTGTCCCTCCTCGAACATCCCATTGGATAAGATGTGACATTGAATCAAATGTTCTTTTCCCCACGGTCCATTGTCAATTGCCCCTCCAAATTTCAGCCACAAACTCAAAAACATACACACCTAATTTCTTTTTAGATGCAGGTATGTCTGCTTTGGCAATGTATACATGTTAGATATACCTAAAAATATTGACAATGCAATGCATACACCATCTGTGGAGATTTACCATCACCTTCTGTCCCATATATAACAGGAAGCGAGGAGAAAAGCCAGCTTCCCACCTTTGCATTGCCGTAATGCACACAATATCACAACATGCAATTGCACACCAAGAAAATGTTCATTCATTGTGGTGCAATTTACTTTGAGTCTCCATGCACACTGGGTGTTTTGATAACGCTAGTAACGGTAGCTGTGTAAAATCATGTTAAAAACGTGAGTTTTTCAGCTTTTTTTAAGTGTTTTTGAATTAGCGTTTTTCCACGTTTGTGATTTTCAGTGGTTTTATTGGTCAAAAAAATGTCCAAAAATGCCGGTTTGCCGCGTTTTTACAGCTAAAAAATGTCTCTAGAAACCCACTAGTTCTGAGTTTTTTTTTCCAGCCAAAAAATGTCCCTGCCAAAAACGTTGATTACAGTCTATGTGTGCATTGACACATGTCTGATGAAGGGGTCCTGTGAGACTCCGAAACGTTGCCTTGCTGTAACTATGTGATCGTTCATTAAAACGTTTGGACCCATATTGGTGATCCTCGGTGTGCTGGTGACATTCTCCCCTGCTGATTCTGTTCGGTTCCAGTTGACGGTCGAGGCAGCACCCACTTATACACACCGCCATTTTTAACGCAGGAACGTGTGCGTTTGGATTGTACACTTGCATTGAGGACACCCACTGCTCTAAAGCAGCACATATGTGATGCAGCATGCTGCAACACATGGTGACACACAGTAACACCCTACTATACATTGCTGTTCAGTGTGTTACCAAAAAAGAATCAGGCTCAGTTTGGGTGTGCTAAAGTGTGGTTGAATTACGTTAATGCAATGCATGTTAACATGCATGCCAGCCAAAATTTCCCCAGCATGAGGGCACAGGCAATGTTTGTCACTGCTGTTGAAAGATTTCTCCTTTATAACAGTTCTGGTGACAGCTCAAAAGTTTGGATTATCTCCCACTTACACAGACAGCAAAAGAGGCTTGACAGGGTTGCTAACCCTTCCTTGCTCTATCCAAAACTAAAAAAAAAAAGTTTTGGCCTTTCATACACTTCAAAGATGAACTCCACATGCAAAAACATGGAAAGTACATGCAAAGCCACTAAACAATGATCTAAACACGATTTCTAAATTGTAATTAAAAGCACCATTTTATTTTAATGTAAGAAAATTGTCTACATGATGACTTGTTGCCCCATTATCTTTTGAAACTTTGCAATGTACAGGAATATAAACAGTGTGGATGGTGATAAGTCCTGATTCACACTGATGCGATGTGGGAAAAGCAGCAAATCCTGTGCGTTTCCAGCACCGCATTGCAATCGCACGGCGTCCAGGGGATGCAGATGCTATGCAATTTGAGCACAGACATCGCATGTGATGTGCACAGGAATGTGGTGCGATTCCTGTGTGAATCAAATACGGTGTCCTCCACCTCACAAGTGTGAACCTAATCTAAGGCCGGCCATACATGGGTCGATTTTCAAATGATTTTTCGATCTGTTAATGGGACAATGGCACTGGCTGATTTTCGTGGTTCCTCCACATATCGTTTATTGGGCATGTTCGGAAATTCGTGAAAAACGACCGATTTTTTTAAATCATTGGTGGTACCATCGGATTACAGAACGAACAATGTTTTTGATTTTCGATCGAAAAATCATTTGCGATTCAACCCATGTATGGCCAGCTTTAGGTGTCCAATTATGACACAGAGAATAGCTGCGATTCAGAGGATTGCAGCTATTCTCTGGTCATTCACAGTTAATGACACTCAGGAGATCTGTGTTCTCACTCCAGATTCTCCAGCCCAGAGCTGGAGAATCAGAGGGACCGCAAACTAAGCAGAGATAATCTACCTCTGCTTAGTAAACTGATTTTTTACTGTAATCTCGCGAGATTATAGTAAAATCAGCCATTTTCCAGAGTTTGTAGACCGTTCTCCAGCGTTTGTAGACCGTTCTCCCTTCGTTCGGAGAACTGCTTTATAAAAAGCATTCACAGGAGAACTGTGTTCTCGGAGAATGCCGGAGAACTGAGCAGCAATCATTTATCGCTGGTTCATAAACGGACACCTTAATGAGGTGGCTGTAAGCTACAATGAATTGTTCTGAGAGGGGCAGGATACAGTACATACAGGCTTGGTTAGGCCATGTCTGGATACAACACAGGCCTCATTCACACTGGATGTTTTTAATGCTGCTGTTAGGGAGGAAGGGATTTCGTTTCCCGAAACGCGTCAACATATTCACACCAAGGGCACAGTATTGCATCCACTGTTGTTGCGGACCACTCTTTCTGTTTTCTATTCTCGTTGGTTTGTGAGTATATTTTATTTCATTTAATAAATATGTGGGTCTCCACTGTAATGCACGATGAGAGTGCGCCCTTGTCTGTTTTTGTTTACCAGTATTCAGATTTCCCAGTCTTTGAAGGGCAGCACCTCTTCTTTTTGGCATTCTCAATTCCCTGGTCTGCATGAAGATTTGAGCGCTGGTTTCACTTGTTTGTCTATTGAAAAGTTAGAACCATGATTGGTGCCCAGGGAAGCCCTCTGAAATTTGTGGGGCCCCTTACACAGCTTTAGGCCTGACCACCAACATTCCCCAGGGCCCACCCACTGACTGTCCACCGAATCTGCCCAGTGGCCATCCCAGCGAGTCCTTCAGTGCATCCACTTTTATTTTAACACTCTTACAACTAAATATATGAAAATATACTGTATATATTCCAAGTCATCAGTGCTTGCATCCCCATATATTCAGCAAAGAGATGGCCAATCCAGCAAAGGGACATCCCTATATATTCAGCAAAGAAACAGTCCAATCCAGTAAGAGACACCACAATATTTTCAGCAAAGAGACATCCCAATCCAAAAAAGAGACATCCTAATCCAGCAAAGAGACAGCCCCATATATTTAACAAAGAGACAACCCAATCCAAAAAAGAGACAATCCAATCCAGAAAAGAGATATCCCCATATATTCAGCAAAGAGACTGCCCCATATATTTAGCAAAGAGATGGCCCGATCCAGCAAAGAGACATCCAAATCCAGCTCTGTCTCCGCCCATCCCCCCCCTCCTCCCCACCGGTACAGGAGGACCTAGAAAGTAGTAGGAGCCCTGCACAGCAGTTAAAGCAGCCTTGGAGGGAAGGGGGGGTTCCGGGCAGCTAGGCCCCTCGGGATGCCCAGACCCCCAAAATGTGTATGGATTGTTCTTCCCCCTGATGGCGGCCCTATTGGTGCCTCACCACCCAACTCAACAAACTTCCTTTAAGACACTGAAAAAAACAAAGTTTGAGTACAAAAACCGGTAGTTCAGATCCTTCCATCCTTGCTGTTTAGAGTGGATGGAAGAGAATCTTTAAAGTGTAAAACTAGAAGAAGGTATGTGCACACTGTTGACTGGCCTTCATTTGCTTTGTGTTTATATGTTCTTGCCAGTAGTCAGAGACCTAAACTTAAAGTTGGGGGGTAAAGGAGGAGGTCTGGACCAATAAAATATGACAATCTCTCACTATCTTGAAGCTTCAGCAACTGTCTTATTGAGAAATGACAGCACAGTTGCTCTGTAAGGACCTAAGACAATACCTTGTAGTGCTAAAGTCCACATTTTATCAGGCACACTAAGTGCATAGAATGTGCATGTACTCCCTTTGTTTGCATGGATTACATCTGAGTGCTCCAGTTTCTTCCTACAA